TAGTACACAATTAAAAACAGTATTGCAAACTGATAACAATAGAAAACAAATGTCTGATATACTATACATGAACATGGTTGGTGCACTTAGATACATTGTAGACTGTATGCAGCCAGATATAGCATTTGCAACAAATCAGTTAGCAAAATACCTCAATGACCCTAGTATAGAGCATTATCTAGCACTTAAACATTGTTACATGTACTTAAAAACTATGAGCAATGTCTGGCTCCAACTTGGCAGCACAAATCAATCAATATTGAACAGCTATACAGATGCAGACAGTATGATGCAAGAAGGGCATTGTACAATATCAGGATATGCATTTTACTTGAGCAATTCATTAGTTTTGTGGTCAAGTAAAAGACAAACACTGGTGGCAAATTCAATGTATGAAGCTGAATTAATAGCTCTTGTAAGAGGAACACAGGAAGCAATCACACTTACTCATTTAGCTGAAGAGATTCTGCAGGTCTCTGATGCACCAATTAATATCTTTTGCAATAACAATGCTGTTATACAAACGGTTACATTGGACGAACTCAAATATTCAGAACGAACAAAGCATTTAGATCATAAGAAAGATTTTATTAAATGCTATATTGAGTTAGAGTACATAAATGCAAAATACATACGGATGAACAATCAATGAGCAGATATATTAACTAAAGTGCTACATGTACCACAAGTCAAACATCTTACCAGTTTACTCGGACTAGTAAGAGTTTGAAGGGGAGTATTATGAGATGATTAGTTCATCAACAGACGAACCACGAGACGATGACTTCATAATGTCTCAGTTAGAATACATACAATATAAGGACGAGAGACACTGAGCAGTCAATCGTCACCTCACCCCTTGTCTATGTGTGCCCCCCTTAAGTTCTCCCTCTCAACAAGATGTTTCTCTCTTCGTCCTGCTAATGCAGACTAGCAAGGAAATGGACTGTATGTTCCCATTCCGCCTTCTTCAATTTGTTATTGTTGATTACCATTGCTAGTACGATTTGGAACCATGGTCAACCCTATACTTGTACCATTTCTCGGATGTCAGAGCGGACTTGTTGGCTACAATGCACACACCACAATACCTTGCTTTATTGTAATCATTGTGTACGACACAGTGATATTCAGTTTGACGCTATACAGAGCATTCCGCTCCAGTATGCACATTTCCTGTTCTTAGTTCAACTACCATACAATAATACTTACCTTTCACAGCCCAAAGAGTACGTCTCTTTTATGTCCTTGTTCGAGATGGTATCTTTTATTATAGCGTCATGCTCGGTGAGTACCAGTATCTTGGAGTCCAATTGTCTGTTACAAGTATGTCTCTGACTTCGAAATTCTATAAGGTATCTCTGTTTCTGCAGTCGCCGTTAGCTCAAGCCTCCCTGTGCAGCGGACTGCATTGACTGCATTGTTCTTACCCGTTGTAAAAGCTAGTTTCTGTGTTGTCGGCAGTAGAATATCGCTCAACCTCCGCGAGGCAGCAAGACGAACTGTAGATGCTTGGAATGGCACGAGCATTGATACAGATATTGATTGACACAGATCTGTTGATCCAGTAGTGCTGTCGAATATGTTGTAATGCATACTTTTAAAGTGAACAAATGTTGTGGTGGACAAATTTAAGCCATAATCTGGGTTGGCAAGAGAAAGTTCTCAAAGAGTAAATCTGAATAACCTGTATGGGTAGGCCGCGATCGCTGCAACGATCAAGATTTATAGTTGCCGTTGTCCGGTCCAGGACTGCTGTGGACCGGGTCCGGTCCGATTGAGGTCCGGTCCAGTTGGGTCCAACAGGGGTCCAGTCCGCGGTCCAGCGTTTGACAAAAATTTCCAGACTGCTTTGGACTGCCTGGACCCTGGACCAGACTGTGGACTGTTTATATTGTAGATACTACTTCTTTAATGCATACAAATGGACTGTACAGAGCCTAATAGATGTGAACTACTCTTACATATATTGTATAGTACATTGTATACCCTTTAAGCATACAAATAGACTATACTTGTTATGGTTCTCCACTCTCATACCTTCAGTTCTGAGGGTTCCACACCCTTCTGTACTGGAACTCAGGACTTCCATCCCTCAGGGGCACTGTCTATGAACTATATGTGTGTTGACTCTTGCTACTACCCTTCCTTACTTTATCATTCCATTCCTTTGACCACCCCTTCATTCTTTGTTTGTTCTATGGTCTCTTACCCTTTGTCCATCCCTTCATTCTTTGTACCTTTATCTTTGACCTTCCTTTCTTTCATTCTTTGTGGCTTATCATTCTTAGTAGCTCATACTCCCTGAGTGCTCTTGTGTAGTTTAGTATATATAGGTGTACAAGATCAGACTGGTTCTGTAGTCTTGATCTTGTCTACTCTAAGTAGTCCTGTACTCTTAGGCTTACTCTATATACTCTACTCTTGTCTCACTCTCTCTCTCCACCTGTTCTACAAGTTCTAACTATGTTTCAGTGCTCACATTCTGTATTTCTGTTGTGTAGAATAGTTGTAGCCTGGGTTCCCTTGCTGAGCCTTCAGGTCCCCTCTACACTGTTGCTAACATTAGATCAAGACTACCTATTACTACCCTACAACTCTTCTACATTTTGAGTA